CAGTGATAACATGATCATAGCAGTAAATTGGGGGTCTCCTATAGAGCCTCCCATTCCTGCAAGATCAGATCTGAGCCTAAGCATTTTGTTGATATGCTCAGTGATATCTGTTTCCTCAGAGGCTTCCTCCCATTCCTGCAAGATCAGATCTGAGCCTAAGCATTTTGTTGATATGCTCAGTGATATCTGTTTCCTCAGAGGCTTCCATTCTCATGATTTTTCTCCACATGTCAAGTTGTATCATGTTGCTCTTCCCTTCATATAGTTTGCATAGTTTTTGCCACATAATATGGAGTTCGTCAGTTTTGGCAGTAGCTTTTAATCTATTCAGCATTGAATCCGACACAGAGTTGATGATGAGCTGGCGGGTTTTGGCTTTTTTCTATTGGAAGAAGTCTATTTTCTCTTCTAGATCTTCAACATCATCCTCATCAGCAAGTGATCCATCTTTCTCAATGGGTTGTTCATTAGAGTTCAATCTGAATGGCTTCGGTGGTTTAGCTTTTCCTTTAAGGAATATAACCAGCCTTTTTGCCTCTATAATTGACTTTAGTCTCAATTTATAGGAAGACCAGTTCATGCCTTTGTCATCTAATTTAGGGACATTTATTCTCAAGGATTCTTGGGATGATGACATGTTGGAGCTAGTGGGGCTCATAACCTAAAATAACTATAGAAGTAAAGGAATCTACTCAGTCTGTGGATACAAGACTGAGTGGTTGATAAGTACCTATGGAAGTAAAGGAATCTACTATGGTAATATCAGTATTATTCTATGGGTGTTTATAGGTATGAACTCTTACCTCAGTCTGTGGATAAAAGACTGAGATGCATAAGTGTCTGGAATATGTACAGTAGGTGGGAATAGTTTTGGTACTAATATGGAATAACTTTCTTGTGTGTAGTCAGGAAAGCGCCACGGTGAGACTTGTCGAGCTAGGATCATATTGTTACAATAACACATTTTCAGAACTTTCCTTTTATTTTCATTCTCCGCTTTAACCTTTTACTGTAGTTTTCACACTCCGTGCCATGTGGCACTTTCCCTTTTGTTCAAACTCCACTTCCTCATGCTGTGCTGCCTTTCTTCTATTTTAGCTACAAGTCTCTCATGCAGTGGAGCTGGTCACACGGGCTGCACCCTCTGACATCATCAGCCACTGCTTTATCAACTGTATAGTACAACATGTACAAACAACCTGTAGTAGTATATATACCTCAATAGATCCAGGAGACTCCTCAGCGAGTCCTCCTGTTGTTTACCCATAACTAACTTGGTCCTATCCTAAGGGTAACCACTCCCCTCACTACCTTTATAATTAGTTCTAGTTGTGCGCCAGAGTATACAAACTCCAGGTTGTTACACATATTGGTGTATGATTATTACATTAGATATTCTAAAGGCCAACATACAATGTCAGTTTCAGTGGGTCAATAATGCTATCTTGGAGCTCTTGTAATTTCTTGTCCATTTCAGCCCAGTACTTTTCTTGTTGATATCCGAACTGCAGGAACGGAGTACAGGAGCTACAGCTTATATACTATTGGTGTTACAATACACAATTTTTGGTCCTTTAAGTTTCATTCTCCTCTTTAACTTTCTTCTATAGTTTTCACGCACTGTGCCTTGCGGCACTTTCTATTTTGTTCAAACTCCACCTTCTCGCACTACACTGCCTTTTTTCTTTATTTTAGCTACAAGTCTCTCATACAGTGGAGCTGGTCACATGGGCTGTGCCTCATGACATCATCAGCCACTGCCTCCATCAACTATATAGTACACATGTACAAACAACCTGTAGTTGTATATATACCCTAATTAATCAAGGAGACTCCTCAGCGAGTCCTCCTGTTGTTTACCCACAACTAACTTAGTCCTATCCTAAGGGTAACCACTCCCTCCCTTCACTACCTTTATAGTTTTTTCTGAGTTGTGCGCCAGAGTAACAAACTCTTGGTTTTTACAATTGGAGGGATTAGAGTTTGTAAGGAGTAACCCGTAATGTAGGTACGGAGTTCCATTCAGACAATTATCTAGCAAGGGGAAAACATATGCGAGGGGAGTGTACCATAAGGTCTAAACTACAGAGTCCATGAGGAATATGAGAACATGCAGAGAAAATGTATGGCGGACTAGAAGTCCAGGGCAAGAGTATGGGAGTGGATATCCAGAGTACCATGTGGGAGTGGGGTACAGGGCTATGCGGAGCAGCAGAGCACAAGGAGCGTAATTCCAAGAGTACCAAAGATTTGGGAGTTCGGACTTGAGGATCTCTGACTTTTTGGAAGTCCAGAAACCATGGCCTGTGTCATGGATATGACTTAGGCGTGGATCTCACATACAGCCAATATAAACTACAGATAAATCTAATCATATGAGGTCCAGATGGGTCTCTGATGGAACCCATATCAGATGAGGATGTGAGGCCATGTGGCTCATTCCAGCTGATTGCCACCTGAACTCAAATTGGTGGTGTAGAGAAGAAAGAATGGTGTATGGGAATGAAGAAATAAAAGGATAGTATGTGAGTGTATTATAAACACAATATGCCAACACACCCCCTCAAACCAAATCAACTGTGACGAACTGTGTTCACCATGGACTATATTTTTTTTCTCAAGTAGCTACATACTGCCACCTACGGAACTCCTACATACTATTACTTGTTGACTGTACTACCCATCTCTGTTTGCTCAACACAAACACCTACCCTAAAGTAGGTACTATATATATATGCCTGTATTGTAGTTACCATCTTTAATACAAATGTACAGCATGATTTCTTGTGCCTACTGAAAGGACCTAGGTGGGAGAAAGATTGTCCACATATACACACCTGGAGAAAACCTGCCACATCACTGGCAGTTGCTGACTCAGATGAGTGATGATTCAGACTTGAATCCTCCAAATCAGCTTGGAAATCCACTGGCATAGGATACTTTGACAAATTATAGTTAATCTAGTAAAGAAATTGGAGAATCAGATGAGTTGATGTCAGTAAAAATGACCTTGAACTGGAGTCTTTGAATACGATGTAGTACTGACCAGTAGTATGAGCCCGAGGGTGTCCAAATTAGTAATGTCTGAGTTACACTGGCAGGAGTATCAATTGGCTGAGTAGCTGCTTGTTCAGCAATTGATAAAGTTCAAGTTCAAATTGAGTTTCAACTTGAAGTTGGGGAAGGTTGTGGCCTACTAATTGCGGGAATAGTAAAAAATCTGTAAGTTGAATCATATGAATTCCGACTCAGTGCTGATTATACTAATACTCAAATCATGATGAAATTTACCATATCCATCAGCATTGCCTCAAATGCCTAATATAGCAACTGGAAATTTGAATACCCTTGGAGAAAGCTGGCATGACCCTATGAAGACCTGACTGGGAAGTTGAAGGTTGCATGCACTGCCACAAAATCTAGAAGTAGTAATACTAGATTACTAGGTATATTAGCTTAAAAATGCCACTCAGATTGCCAGCCTATCAATGAATGTAACTGGTCTAATTACCAATAGCCTGGGTGTCAGGAAGTGGAATGACATGATATACCTCAGGTGACTTCAAGTTTAAGTTGATGTGCAAGTGCCAGTACCAGTGGCAAGGTCACCAAATATCTCATTGGCAACTTCAAGTTCAGTCAGTAGTATTGCCAATGCCAAGCCATCCTGAGTTTTTGTCCAGTGGACACCAACTGGAAGCTTGATGCATGCATGCTATTGGGGCATCATAATGAATGATAATGAGCCTGCACACCTAGCCTTTGAATGTCCAAGTCTTGAAAATGACTGTGGTGAGTTTATATAACAACCAAAGTTTTGATACTCTGGTGCACAACTCAGACAAGTGAGTGTGAGCAAATAGGAGTGGATAAACCCCTTAATGGTAGGACCGAGTAAGTTGTGGGTAAACAACAGGAGGACTTGCTGAGGAGTCTCCTTAATCTATTGGGCTATTTATACTACTACAAGCTATTTGTACATGTGTACTATACAGTTGATGAAAGCAGTGGCTGATGATGTTATAGAGTGCAGCCTGTGTGACCAGCTCCACTACGTGGGATATTTGTATCTAAAAATAAAGGGAAGCAGTGCAGCGCAAGAACATGGAGTTTGAACAAAAGGAAAGTGCCACATGGCACAGTGTGTGAAAACTGAGAATGAAAGTTAAAGGTCCAAAAATTGTGTATTATAACAGTTTAACTTGATTTAGAAGTTTGCTTTCAAGTTGAGGACTGACAGTGGTGTCCGGTTCATGGTGACCCTCAAGTTGACTCGAACTCATGTTCACCAGCATGCACAATCCTCAACTCTCTGACAAAATATGGTAGTAAAACATGCTTATGTGTATATTGTTTGACCATTGCTTTTTCAATATCCAGGGCCTTATGGAAAGTGGTATTGAACATATGATATTATACAAGCCCAAAGGAAGCTATATTTTTGAGTATAACATACTATTTTTATATTCTTACTATTCACGCTAACAATTACTTTACAGAGAATGCAGAGAGCAGCGTACTTTTTTAGACCTACTTAAACTTGTTCTATGCCTTGGGGGATGCCTGACAAGTGAGACATCATTGGAGGAAGAAATAATCCACATTGTGGACTTGGCACATTTATTGTCTTGTGGGAGCTCACTATCAACAAAGTGCTATGTTGCAGATCAAAAAAGGAGCCAATAGGGCAAGATCATATGACACCAAGGGTATTAAGGCTGCAGTGATCAATTAGATTACGTCCCAAGGGACAGGCACTTTCACCTCATCTCCATTGCAATGTCAAGACTGGCCACAGTTTTAACAAAATCCCAAGGTGTGTGTTGATGCACACATATTTATTTCAAAAAGAGATCTGTTTAAATGTTGGTGTGGAAGACCTTGCCCAAGGCTCAGTACACCCAATAAGTGCACTGCTTGATTCAGGTGCTAACAGTATCTTCATAGACCAGGCCTGAGTGGAGCAGATTAGACTCCCCCTTGTAAAATTATATATATCTATTCCTGTTTATAATTTTGATGGTACATTAAATGTGGGTGGCTGCATTACGCACAAATGTCCTTTTGTGGTCGAATACCAAGGACACAGGGAACAAGTCACCACCGAGACTACCCAACTAGGGAAGATCAATTTAATATTGGGCTGGACCTGGCTATTTAAACACAATCCTGAGATCAACTGGCAGACAAGGATTGGCACATTGTCACATTGCCCTCAGAAGTGTAATGACTTGGGTAAGCCAAATCACGTCTGTCAAACCAGGACTGAAGAAAGGATAAATGCTGGTTACATTTATGCCAAACTTGAATCCTTGGATAAAGTTGACAATGGCAATGATGAGGTAAAACCTGAAGAAGAGATTAAAAGGCTGGTACCTCCAGAGTACCATGACTTCTGGAAAGTCTTTTCTAAACATAAATAAGAATACTTTCCAGAGGCTAAACATTGGGACCATGCTATAGATTTGAAGGACACCTTAAAACCACAAAAGGGACACATGATTCCCCTCTCTGCCCCAGAAAAGGTTTAGCTTTATAGACAAACAGGTTAGAAAGAGTTACATCAAACCTTCCAAGAGCCCTATGACGTCTCTGGTGTTCTTCATTCCTAAAAAGGATGGTAGAAAGTGTATGATTATGGACTATTGTTACTTAAATGAGTACATGGTTAAAAATGCATATCCGCTGCCTTTGATCAGTCAGCTAGTAGATAAATTAGCTAGCACTAATATCTTAACAAAGATGGATCTCAGATGGGGGTACAATAATGTATGCATCAAAGAAAAAGATGCTTGGAAGGGCATATTCACATGCCACCAAGGATCTTTTGAACCTTTTGTCATGTTTTTTGGGTTGACCAATTCACCAACAACCTTTCAGAGCATGACGAATGAATTTTTTGCGGATATGGAAGACTGTGTTGTCATTTACATTGACAATTTATTAAGATTTATGAAGACGGACAATAAGGCTAAGTATAACAGGATTGTGGAAGAAGTTCTTTGATGCTTATAGGGACAGGATGGATCCTGAGAAAGTTCAAGCTATATTGGATTGGCCTAAACCTACTTGTGTCAAAGGAGTTAGGGCTTTCCTTGGCTTAGGCAATTTTCACCAGAGATTTGTTGAAAACTTTGCAAAAATAATGAGACCATTGAACGATCTCACAAAAAATGATATTGTCTGGAATTAGGGTGCCAAGGCACAGGAAGCTTTTGATAAGCTTAAACAAGTGTTTACAACAGTGCCTATATTAGCATTTCCAGAATTAGACAAAGAGTTCCAACTAGAAACCAACTTTTCTTATTTTGCCACTGGGGCTGTTCTATCAATCAAATGCCCTGAAAATCTTTAGAGGCTTTGTGCCTATTTATTGCATGATTTGTTGCCTACAGAGTGCAACTATCATATCTATGATGAAAAAATGCTGGCCATCATTCAAGCTTTAGTATTTTATAATGGCCCGGGACTTGAACCAAAGACAGGCCCATAATGTGATGTACTTGTCTAGGTTTAATTATAAATTAATTCATAAGCCTGGTACTTCTACAGAACAAGCAGATGCTTTGCCTAGAAGAGAGGATCATGCCAAAGGTATCACCCTGATAGATCAATCCATGGTTGCCAATCTTCAAATAGGGCAGGATTCAAATCTTCTAGGAGTCTTCGAGGAAGATATTTTATCAGAAGAGAAGGCACACCTTGATGACAATGAGCATTATTTATGGGAATATGGGATTTTCTATTACAAAGACAAAATCTATGTGCCTGAGTCCGCAAGGATCAAGGCCATAGATAGACACCATAACACACCAGTGGCTGAGCACCCCAGGTGGCAACGGACAATGGAGTTGGTCTCCAGAAACTACATGTGGCCGGGCATGGTCAAAGGCATACAAGAATACTTAAAATGCTGTCTTCACTGTGTTATGGCAAAAAACTCTCATCAACTGCCAGCGGGTAAACTTATGCTGAACCCAATACCAGCTGGACCCTAGCAGGACATATTGGTTGACTTCACAACAGATCTGCCCAAATCAAATGGGTATGATTCAGTAATGGTGGTAGTAGATTGCTTCTCCAAAGAAGTGGTATTTATTCCCACCAACAAAACCATTACAGCCACTGATACGGCATATTTTTTTAAAGATTTTGTATGGTCTATCCACAGGTTACCAGAAATGGTTATCTCCAATAGGGGACCCCAATTTGCTAGCAATTTCACAAAATAATTATGCCGGATGCTAAGCATCAAACCTAATTATCAATGGTGTTTCATCCTCAAACGGATGGACAAACAGAGAGACTCAACCAGAAGTTAAAGCAATATCTCTGGATATTTATTAATGACAGGCAGACAAATTGGGCCAAGTGGTTAAAGATAGCCTAGTCCTTTTACAATATCAAACAGCTGTTGGCTACAAAAAAGACACCATTTGAGGTTACAAGGTTGTACCTCCCTAGAATGGGTGTAGAACCTGGCAAAAGCAAGAATGGGGCTGCAGGGAACATGGCCAAAGACATAAAATCCATTTTAAATGAAACACAAAGTGCTATTTCAAACTGCAGAGCAGGTGGAGGGCAGGGCAGAGCATAGATGCTCTAAGGCCCTGACTACAAGGCTGGCAACCTGGTCTGGTTAGATACTGACTATTTAAAATTAAAGATTGGAAGTCTAGAACACTGACTGGCCCTTACAGGATAAAGGAAGTCAAACCCAATGCAGTGCAGCTGGAACTCCCAAAATGAATGAGGATAGTACCCACTATTAGATATTTGGACCCTCAGGGCACCAGAACAAGCAAGGGAGAAGGATTCTTGGATAATATATGCTGTAATAATGTAGGTACAAAGCTTTTTATATAACAAACAGACGTAAAATGTAAATACCATGTGAAAATTAATGATAGCCACAAAAAGCTGGTTATAATCACAGAATAAATCTTTGGGCAAAGCTCTGAAGTTTGCTTACACAATATAATTTTGACACCCACGGTCAACATTAGCCGTGTGAAACCCTACAAAGGGCTGCTGCCAGGATAGCACATGGACTGGCCCGGACTGGTTGTAGTCACCCAAGAAGGTGAAGAGGAATTTGATGTTGAACATGTGCTGGATGCACACTTGAAGTGTTGAAAATTAGAGTTCGTAATTCTCTGGAAGGGCTATCAAAACAAGGGCAGGACATGGGAACCAGAAGCCCATCTGGACATCTCCCACAATGTTGTTCTCAATTTTATCCGAAGAATCCCTTGGTTCCTAGGAGGCTTAGAGGCATGGATTCAAATTTTTTTGATTATCTTTTTCAACCAATGCCTGAAAATTTAATTACTACCTCCATTACTTGGTCTCACCTGGAAATCAAGCTTTAGGAGGGAGGTAGTGTTACAATACACAATTTTCGGACTTCCAACTTTTAGTCTCCACTTGAACTTTTTTTTGTACTATTTTGCCATGCAGAACTTTCCTTTACTTTTAAACTCCACTTGTATTTGCACTTTCTTGCCCTGCAATGCTTCTCCGTTATTTTTAGATACAATTCTCTCATGTAGTGGAGCTGTTCACACAGGCTGCACCTTATGATATTATCAGCCACTACTTTATCAACTGTATAGTACACATGTAGAAAAACAGCCTGTAGATGTATATAAACCCCTATAGATCAAAGAGACTCCTCAGTGAGTTCTTCTGTTGTTTACCCACGACAAACTTGGTTATACCCTAAAGGAGTTTATCCACTCCTTCACTCACTTTTCTCTGCTTATCTTCACTGTGCACCAGAGTATAAAAAATTTGGTTGTAACAGTGGGCCCCATCCTATATGCCTGGTTAATGCCAACTGGTTGGGAGCCCTCAGAGAGTGCCATCACAAAGGCAGCTTACATCCAACACAATTGTTTTTACAGCATAGTGAGGGAAAATAACCAGTCCAACAACAATAGCTTCAGTGCTGATGACTTGAGTATTGATAATAATTATAGGTTCAATGAAGATGATAGCCAGCTACTTGAGATAGCAGAAGCAATAGCCCTAAGGGATGAATATTGTGGCAGCTGGATATATGGCGACGACAATATACTCCAAATATCAACATTTTTTACAGATTCACATCACAGTGTAGAGTTATCATTGTGAATGGGTCTGCATTGCCATCACTTTTCTACTCCCAATACCATTCCTATCCAACCCACTCCTTCATCATATGACATTTTAGCCCACATATTCTATGCTCAATCTGTTGTACAGCTTGCTCCACCCACACTGCCAATTTATACAGTCCGCACAATCCACATTTTGACTTTATTCAAATTGCATAATCTGCACTTTAGACTTGTTGGGTTTGCATAAAGCACGGCAGACAGTCTTACGCAGGGACAAAGCACATATGCAGTAGTTTGGACACGTTAATCTGCACTTTCATGCAGTCTGCACCCATGGGAAATTCAATCCACAAGTTGGACTCCATCAATCTGCACTTTTCAGTCAAATTATTCCCCAGTTGCCTTGGAACACAGTACTTCTATTGCACTTCAGTCAGCAATTTCATACAGTCCGCAGAGTTTGTGTTTGTGGACAGATAGAGTACATGCCTGTGGATACATAGAGTCTGCATTTGCAGATTGTTACAATTAACATACCAGCACCTACTTATGCTTTACTTTTCTGTTTTACTTTTCATTTTCCAAGTCACGTGACTGATCACGTGACCGTTTACTGTACTTTACATTTCGGACTTTTCATAGTCACATGACCAATCATGTGATGCATCACCTGACCAGTGTCTAGACTCAACATGTGACCAGTCACATGCTAGACATCAGACTTTGAACTTTATTTACAACTGTGCAGTACCTCATGTATTGTAGTATATATACCTGAGCAATACATGGGGAAGGACTCAGTGAGTCCTATCCTAGTGTATACCAACATTGGTGAAGACAACCTCCCTCCTTTGTTTTTACCATTATTCCTTAAGTTGTAGCCTTTGATCATGTGTCACACAGATACATAGGGTCCGCACTTTTCGGACTTTGGACCCGCCGGATGACAAGTTAACTCAGCACTCCATGCATGTGCAAGCCTCCACATAGACTCCAGAGTATTATGACTGTCCACGGATTAACTACCCCTTTCCTTTTATGGATTATAGGAGTTGGACTGTCTGGACATTGGACCAACAGGAAATGGCTCGCTTTTTCTTACATTTTCATATGGACACTTTCTAATGTTTATCCTTTGTTTCTCCCATTGGTTCTCATATGTTTCACACTATTTTTGCTATTCCCTTTTTGGTACTACTATAAAACTGTACTTCCAAAAGGAAGGAATATCATCTTTTGATCCCCCATATACTCAGAATTTGTCTGAATAAGTCACCATAGTCACCTCAGAAGTGTTGTAGACGTACCCCAGCTGTATAGCCATATGTCCAACAAGTGCAGAGCTTGTTGTGATGTTCTACTTGTACAGACCCCAAAACACGGACTCTCAGGAGTCATCCCATTGTTATATTCTCAGCTCTTGTATTATTGTTCACACACTTGTTTTACTGCCTTTCCAGCAAGGCCACAACTTGCTGTGATGTATCCACTCAGTTTAAACTCAAAATTACAGACTCTGCAGACTGATGTGTGGATTTGCAGTGAGTCTGCAGACACACTCCATCCTTGTCTTTAGCACTTTCTTCTGAATCCCTTGATTGATCCTTGTGGGTTGAACAATGCATAGGTGTTTGGACATCAGGACTATACTTTTTGTATTTGAACTGGGAAAAAACCTTGTTTGGAGTGTGGGTGGGATGAAGGTAGGCTGTTTGTGCACTGGGTAGGGTGAATATACAATCAATTCCTTTGTGTTGTGGAAGTACATCAACCTAGATTGTACATGAGTAACTGTAAGATACACAATTATATAACACATAATTTGCATGCATTTTGTCTCGCTGTTGCTTATCCAAAAAATGAATGGATATTACTGGTGATATCTGTTAAATGCTGAAGTTCAAGTTAATTACTTTTTTGCGTGGTAGAAAAGATAATACTGACCAATGGCTCTGGATTGGGTTGCATTAGAGCCAGCATGTTGCACACACATTGAACTATGATTCAAAAATGATAAGCTGTGACTGACAGAATGATAAGCTGTGACTAACAGAATGTAAGATAAACAAGTATACCTTTGTCAGCGGTGCTTTTATTGAGGCCATTATTCACAATCTTGGCTTCAACAATATCTTTGATGTCCCGCTGAGCTACTTTGTTAGTGGTTTGGATAGCAGGATCAGGGCTAGTGGTTGCATCAAGAGACATGTGACAAACACTTCCAGATAGTGTCAGGGATTTAAGGTGACTTGCTTGAGCAGCTCGGTGTTACAATACACAATTTTTGGACCTTTAATTTTCATTCTCCTCTTTAACTTTCTTGTGCAGTTTTCACACACTGTGCCATGCGGCACTTTCTATTTTGTTCAAACTCCACTTTCTTGCATTGCACTGCTTTTCTTTATTCTTAGTTACAAAGTCTCTTACGCAATGAAGCTGGTCACACAGGCTGCGCCCATCAGCCACTACCTTTGTTGACTGTATAGTACACATGTACAAACAACCTGTAGTGATATATATACCCCAATAGATCAAGGAGACTCTTCAGCGAGTTCTCCTATTGTGTACCCACAACTAACTTGGTCCTATCCTAAGGGTAACCACTCCCCTTACTACCTTTATAGCTTTGTCTGAGTTGTGCACCAGAGTAACAAACTCCTGGTTGTTACACTCGGCTCTTGGAGCTACTCCTGCTTGAAAAAAATGACTTCAACTCTGAAGACTAAAGAGAGGGTCTTGCCTCTGTTTTCACTTTCTGGTCAGATTTGGCACCATTGTGGGTATTGCTATAATGAATAATGGGATGGCACAGATAATAATTTTCTGATCCTGAACACATATTTCCAACTGGAAAAACTTGTAGTCATGCCAGACTTTGGTTTATTTGCACCACCAAATATTGCCACCAAATCCAATATCTTTTAGTTGGCTAAAGTTAAAGAACATGAATGTGACTGTGACTTCTTCTGTTCTTGGACAGAATTATAAGTATTTTGTATGCAGTTATCATACTTTGAGACACCAAGTTCAGAAGAATTAGCAGCCTTGTAAAAGAAATGTTTCAAATCCTATCATCCCAGCTTAGCTAAAGAAAAAACATATTTTTATAGTTACACCCGCAGATTCTGGAAAACTCTCATATTCTGCATCTACTCCTCTTCAATAGCAAAATAATCATTATCCTGATCACTCCACTGAATATCCTTGGAGGAAAAAATATCAACAACTGTTTAATATTATAAAATCATAAGGGGCACTGTATTAGTGAATATATATTATGTTCTTTCATATTTCTGCATTCTGTTCCTGTTTTTTGACTTTAGCCAACCAAAAAATGTTGGATTTGGTGGCAATATTTGCGAGTGCAAACAAACAAAAATCTGGCAGCACTGCAAGTTTTACTAGTTAGCCATATGTATTATGCTTAACTGAAGTTTTGGTAAAGTCTGGGATAATTACATAACCGCACAGCACTAGGATATAGCATACACACATGTATTGACCGGTTTGGAGTCTGCCAATAACTGTAAAACCCTTAGTGACCAAGAGAAAGTCGAGAGAAATATCTTGATTGCTAGTAAACTTGGAAACACTCTACAACAATAGAAATAATGGTGCAAAATATCAATATCTCTGTAAAATGTAGCAGAACATCTTTTTATTGCAAAGTTGCAAGCAGGTAATATAAATGTGTACATATATATAAATCACAAATAATATTCTTGACTGTGTACAGCAACCCAATAAATTGGGAATGCTAAAATATATATAGGTTGGCAATGAGCAATTGCAAGACAACAAAAAGTAATGTATATAATGTAGTAATTGGGAGAAAATATTTCTACTGTGACACTATATATATCTTCTGACTACTCTCAGATCTGGCCAAACAAAGTTCTATAATAGCCCTCACATCTCATAACCAGTTGGAGTTATATTGAACATAGGATATAAAACTTAGTGCATCATGATACTTAATATGGCTTCATAATCTCAGTTTTATTTGGAGTTGAAGATTATTGCAATTCTGCCAGAAATTGGTGTAGCATATTTTCATGATATGCAATATAAGGTCTTACAGTTTATGGTACAATAATTGTTTGCATGTTACTTGTTATTAGCCTTATAAGGCCTTTGTATGACATTGTGGAAATTTTCTTAGTCTTTTGTGTGACAATACCACAAAGTTTGTTGACTCTGGTACACACACACAAAAAACCTCAAGGAAGAAGTGATATAATGTCCTAGAGCAAATAAGCCACAGTGTAAATAGTGACAAATTATCTGAGGTTTTACCAAAACTTGTGTTAGCTTAACACACCCAACCAACTGGTGAAAAATGTACTGGCCGACTATTTTGGCCTATTTAGCTCACTATAAAAACTTTGGGCTGTCAAGCCCGTAAACCCAGCAGCCGTATATATGTTGCCTGTAGCCGTGACTGGGTTTTGTAATCAGGGGCACATCAGCATCAGACTTATTGTTGTAACTCAACCTTCATCTATGTTTTATAAGCGACTTTAAAGCTCTCAAGCGACTGTAAAGCAGAGCCACTTGGGAATAGTTTTAATTCGGTGTGTTATCCCCCGTTGTGGTATCATTGTGTTGTCATTTCTGGACAACCAATATCTTTCACTGTGATAAGATGAGACGGAGAGCATGTAGATTTGATGTGCAGGCTTAGATAACTCTGAAGTAATGATAACATAATATAGATTGAACAACTGTTTATCTTATTGTACTAGTACATTGCTGCAAAATGAAAGCTAAAAGATGGTATAAGAAACAGCTGCAAACAAAGTGTTGCCACGCAAAATCAAACAAACTAACAAAGCTTTGTATAGGTGGGTTAGGCATGATAATGTGGTTAACAAGCTCTATAATGTAATTGTATGCTTTGCCAAACTTTGACATCACAAAATCTTCCTGATGGTATGTCCCATGTACCAACTCCTTTATGCAACAGGATAGCAAAGCCCCTATGATGCCAAATGCAAACTTGAGTGACACTGTGTTACAATTGACATACATACCAGCACCTACTTACGCTTCACTTTTTGTACTTTTATTTTGTATTTTCCAAGTCACATGACCAATCATGTGACACATCACCTGACCAGTGTGTAGGCTCACCATGTGACTGGCCACATGCGAACCATTGGATGTTCAACAAAAAGCGCACCCAGGCAAAGGACAGGGCAGCTAGTAAAAATGGAGAAGACTATGAGGGCAAATATTGTCAGTATGTACCACAATGCTGATGTTTATTTTGTTACTCATGTACAGAACAGGGATATAGTTGATTATTTCCAAATGGCTCAATCTTGCAAATGCCTTGCAGCCTCCTGGCAGAATATAATACAGTGGAAGCTTGTATGGTGATTTCATCAGAGTATATATACTATATCAGTTTCTATAATCACTTGAATTGTATTTTTGGATGTGATATTCTAGTACTTGTTAATAGCTACAAACTCTATAAGAATCAAGAATTTTCCTTATATGATAAAGAATGGTTGAGATATGTTTGCTAGGTAAATTATATATCAACTAATCAATATGAAATCTACATATGCACAAATAGTGAAGTTTTATGTTCAGTGAATATGTACCTTATATGTATGTACACATTGGCAACTTGTATATCTGACACAAAGCATATAATATACATATTTCCTCAGATATAGAGTCTATATGACAAAACCAGATAAACCTAGTCTCAGCTGAAGCTACTAAGCAACCATTGTTTGCCTAAGAGGCCAAATAGTGTTCAGAATAACCAAATAAAGCTAATATTTGTACTATTAGTGTCCCAATGGTTATCTAAAACATCCCTATTATGCCCTAGATGTTCTTTAGGAGTACCTGTATAACACCTACAATATTTAATAAAATTACACAGTGCTACTTATTTCTACTGGGTATCTCAAATACTTTGGTAGGATGTCCCTATTTGGTTATAGATATTCTTTAAGAATATCCACATTTTGTCCCAAAATATTACTATTTGTACTGTTGGTATTCCAGTGTACATCTATATCAACCATATTGCATCTATAAATTTTGTGAGAGTACCAAATAATATTCACAACATGTAAAGAAACTAATAACTGTATTTTTTATCTCCCAATAGTTTATTTGAAATATAACTATTATATTTTGAACATCCTTTGGGAGTATTATATACTGTTCAAGACATTTAATGGGACTACCCTAGATACTACTTATGCCTCACTAGATATCCCAGTTGCTCTAGTAGAATGTCCCCAATTTACTTTTGCTGTCCTTGAATAGCATTATATATTATCTAAAAAATCTAATGAGACTATTATTTGTACTGCTAGTATCTTAGTAAGTCCTTTAAAATATTTTTAGTTATATATGGATGTTCTTTCAAGGTACTAAATAGTGTTAAAATATCCAAAGGAATTAATATTTGCACTGTTGGTGCCTCAATGGTTATCTAAAATATCCCTATTATATCCCGGATGTTCTTTAGGAGTATCTGTATAATGTCCACAATATCTAATAAAGACTACCCTGAATAGTACTTATATCCCACTAGGTATTTTAAATAGTTTAGTAGGATATTTTTATTATATCTTGGATGTCCATTGGGAGTACCTAATGATATTCCAAAATAGTCCGATTGTATTATGGACACTATACAAGTACTCCTAAAGGACATTTAGGGTACAATGAGGACATCCTATTGGAGTATCTGGGACATATTTAGACTACCACATATATAAACCCTAAAAGACACCTTGTTACCTATTGTGAGACATTTTGAATTTAGAACATCCTAGGATAGTCCTACCTTGTAATAATGTAGGATACATAACTTTTGAAATTTTAATCCTTATAAAGACCCCTGGCACCACTTTGGAGTCCTAGGATTCCTAAAGACCTCTTGGATGAATTTAATTTAAGAGAGTCCTGGATGGATTACCTACATGTGGGATAATCCCAGGATAAAAGCCTCTTAAGCACATCATTGAACCATAACTGATCAGCCTAAGAGGCTATGGAAAGAGGTTGACTGAAGTGATACTTGCAAGGAATTCAAGAATTTCACAGGATACTATTCATGCCCCTCTCCATCCACTTTATCATTTGACAGAGCTACTAAATCTTCTCCAGGGAATTTTTTGAGGATTGCTAAATGAAGGCCACTAACAGCATCACTTTTTGCAGAGAGGATGGTGCGGAATAATGGTCATCTTTGTCTCCATTTGCAATTCCAGGATAGGTAGTGTCAACTAATGAGTCCATGGTGTCTTCTGGCATAAGCATGTTGCTTGAAAGCTCAATAGTTCCATCTCTTGCAATTCTATGACCACCACCAACATCCAGGAGCCAGCTAGCAAAGGCTTCACTTTCTGGAGTACCTAATAAAACTATGTGAAACTCAGCCGCTGCCCAAGAGGCTATAGAAACGACTGAGGTATTTCTATACTAAACCCCCTACTACTTATAGCTGGAGGTGCTACTCGCTATAGTATAATGACTCCTAGGAGAACAATGGTGACTCCATGGAGTGGTGGCTATGCTCCATGGAGAACAATGGCTGCTTCGGAAGAGACCGGGTTTATCCGGTTTTGTCAGTACCATCCAGGTGCATGTTCTGTGTGAGATAGCAGACATGGGTATTTGTCCACAGTTGTGACCTTCTAGAAGAGGCAGAAATAATATGTTGCCTTGACACTCTTGGAACAACAGGTGTTGTTTGGGCAGCTGATTATAAATATTCCACAATGTACAATCTGACACTTCAATGCCATGATGATGTTGCATCAGTGCTTCATCCTCAATAATAACTCTGGTATGTCTCAAAAGCTCAAATGAGCTGTGCAGTCACCCTCCAAGAGCAGAGATGTAATCCCAGAGGATGCTACACATAGAGCAACATTATAATTATCCCTTGCTCAAACAACAGTAGTAATTATATTCCAGAGATATGTTTTCCCCCTACCAGTACCTCCAGCACTGTGAATAAAGCAAGTTATTCCCCAACTATGATGAATTGACTATATGATAGTATCAAAAGCATTCTGCTGCTCTTGACTAAGCTCCTCTACATTATCTTTCACCTCCAAAGTAAGATTAAATCTGTCATAATTTTGCTTTTCATGGAGAAAATTGTTTGCAATAATAGGCTCCTATTGTTGCTGAGAAAAAGGCATTGGAGTAAAGTTTGGAAAACACTTATTGGATTGAGTAAATATGGATTCCAGCAAGAATAGCCAATAGTTGTAAATCTGGTCTTCTGAAGGTGGGACAATTCCTCTTTGAGTAATAATAATACAGTTAAGTGATCAAAGTTTTGCCAAGTCAGAAGTCAGTGAACTTGTGCTGTCTGTAAAATACTGTTAAGTCCTATTTGCATGTTTGACTTGCTGTTCGGTTGTTGAATGTTCTTATAACCGTGAGAGTTTTTGATGTGGCTACAATTTTCACTGCATTCACTACCACTACACTGCTGCTGCTCCTGTGCTGCCACAAAAACCATGCAAAGGGACCTCAGTGAAATAACCAACGCAATGTGGCTTGCACGTGGCTTTTGGGACTACCATCCCCTTTGTTTTAGATTGTACCTTAGCAAGTAGCACCTCCAACTATACATAAGTAGTAGGGGGTTTAGTATAGGAATACCTCAGCCATTTCTATAGCCTCTTGGGCAGTGGCTTTCATTTAGTTTTATCAGTATATACCACCAACAATGTAGTTTTGAGATAGTCTGTGCAACAGGCATCTAGACCTGATATGGGGTGAATGTATGGTAAGATAAATTCAGACTGTGTAGAAAGATCTAATATTTGAGAGCATGTACCTATGGTAAGGTAAACTTGTAGGTACATATTTAGTAAATGGCATAGTTGCAAAAGACTGTCCAATACTCACTTCAGACTGTGTAGAAAGGTCTGAAGTAAGTCTCTGTGCTTGAGTGGCTTATAACCTGCTACTCAGCCAAAGCAACAGTGTACATAATCCATTGTCCAGCTTTAAAGCTGAGACATATGTGCGTTCATACAATGGGTCCGTAGTTCCTATTTGTCCATAGCTTAAAGCGGCAAGTGGCCTGTCCTTGCTTGTACTCCAACAGAATGCTCTGACATGATCATGCAGAGATCAATTGGATGCTGTCCTAGTGTTCCATGGCGACACCAATGGTGCAAGGAACTTTTATGTAGAAACTAAGAACTGTCAACACCTCAGCTGTGATAAGAACAACTAAGATTCTACCTAAGAACTGTCAATGCTACAACATTGAGTCAGTATTGTAGTCATAAGTTAATCAAATGATATGCACCCTCAGCTGTGATAAGAACAACTGAGGGGGGGAGACTATTCTAAGATACAACACTACATATGAATGCGAGCATCTGCATCACGTGAATGTTTGAATATCTGTAATATCACAAACTTTGTAGTTGTGCAATCCATCATTTTATTTATTTTCTTTGCAGCGCAAAGACCATAATATCCAACCAATATTAGTCATAGCTTCACTTTTTCTTAATGTTGGTGTGACAAATCCCGCTTTTGGGCCAGTAGGACTTCCGTCAATCGTGAGACAAATTTAGCAGTGTAGTCATGTAACGGTCACTGAACATCACACGAGTGAAAATGGAAAGATGAGAGATGTCTCGAGCGCACTAGGGATCACAGTTTTAAGTCTGCTATTCCTAAGAATACTGGGCTCCCTGGGACGGGTCAGAGAGCCCTTATATACATTAATCGGTGTCAGAGTCTAAGGAACTCTAAATAAACTAAGGAGCAACAGTAGTTCTACGAGCAATAAACACTCCACAGTGAGGAGAATTTAATTGCTCCAAAATGTTTATCAAAATGCATTGGAAAAAATGATATTTGGGTCAGCATTTGAACTACCTTATGTTAAAAATTTCATTTGCTATGGACATATAATAAATATAATACTTATTTCCTTACGAGTTTCAGCCATGGGTTAAACTAGAAATGTCAAGGGATACAAAAGTAATTGCGAATAATTATAATTTTATTGAACATTTTGACATTCCAAAATTAGACATTTCGGATACATAGCATGACACAATACAAATTACTTATTTCAGCCAAAATATTTGAGTGTTTTGAAAACGTAAATGAAAAATAGGTCTTTAGCCGGCCATAAAATACATTGCCCGATGGTCGCCCGCTTGTTTCCCCTGAACTGCCCACTTGTTGGGCGAGCCATTAATCCTATAATAAATGTGTCAGATGAATAGTAAGAAATGAAAGAGAGATATTTACACGGGAAAGGGACATAATCACGATTGTATCGGGGGTCATTTGCCAACACACATACTGATACATGACCCAATCAAGGTCAATTGCTTCAAGTGTAGGAACCAGAAGAGGCAAGTATAAAGCTGCAGGGAAATGAGGGTACCAAAGAAATGATCTACTGTGTGTTACAACCAAGAGTTTGTATACTCTGGCGCACAACTCAGACAAAAGGGAGTGGCTACCCTTTAGATAGGACCGAGTTTGTTGTGGGTAAACAACAGGAGGACTCACTGAGGAGTCTCCTAGATCTATTGAGTATTTATACTACTACAGGTTTGTTTGTACATGTATACCATACAGTTGATGGAAGCAGTGGCTGATGATGTCATAGGGCACAGCCCGTGTGACCAGCTCCACTGCGTAAGATACTTTGTGGCTGAAAATAAAAAAAGGCAGTGCAGCGCGAGAAGGTGGAGTTTGAATAAAAGGGAAAGTGCCACATGGCACAGTGTGTGAAAACTACAGAAGAAAGTTAAAGAGGAGAATGAAATTTAAAGAAACCAAAAATTGTGTATTGTAACACTGTGCTAGTAGGAGCCGGAAGGTGTCACTGAATGGCAAGCTGTACCTTGCCTTGGCCTAGAGGGCTGAAAATATATTTTATATTTCCAGGTACTAGAGGTTTACACCTGTTTCCGGCGGGGTAAAATAATACCTGGCTATTACCTAGGTGAGTTGATGACCGAGCAAGCATACTGCAACTCAATCAAAAGTGCGCGTGCCAAATAACATAGTACCTGCAGACTAAATGCCACATATCCGAAGGGACCGGTACACCTTTGTTCTCCTGAGTCTTGCAGACATTGTCAGAGTGAACATTGTTTTCATAGTATTCCCTCCCAGGCCATTTATCAAGTAGGAGCTTACATTCTTTGATGGCTGGGGGGCAATCGGCGCAGGCTACCCAGCGCTTAAGCATCCCTGCTTTGTTGAAAGTGTGTGAGAACATTGATTCCAAGTCGCCAAATTTGTGATTGTTTAGAAGCCGCTGGAGGATACCAATGAGACACTTATAATGGCCAGTAGTCCAAGTAATCCTCTGGCTGGCAATTACTCTGGGAGCTGGGCCCGGGCTTGTCTTTTGGCAGTTGGTACTCTGCATCCACCAACTTCAGGTATTCCTCCTCAGTATATAACTCGGTGAGGAACCCCCTTTTAGACTTGTGTGTAATAGAAGCATGCCAGGGACTGTCCTTGTCCACTTCTTCTACACCTACAGATTGATGCCCCGAGATAGAAGGAGCCAGGCCTGGGCCCTCCAAACTGATGCCCAACCCCATCCTGGTTGTTGATTCCTGGAAGGCTACAGTTTGTTGCCTTGCAGCTGGTTCGGAGGGCCCTGGCTGGTTCTGAACGTCAGCACCGCGTTCATCATCACTTAGGATTTTATCAGGCCCCTTAATCTCCTCTTGTTCCTCATCTGTGGAATTGCTTCTTGGTGCAACCATTCTCACTCTGGGAAGGACTCTCTTCATTGCTGCCTTCCCCTTCCTTTTACCCTTTCCTTTATTGGCTACCGGGTGCAGAGTAGATTTGAACCTGAAGATAACTTTGGCATTTATATTGTTTTTCTGGTTGTACCAATGGTCCAACAGATCCCAGGTCTCCTCCTTTGTCATATGTGATGGTTTCGGGAACTTATACCCCTTTGACAAATCAATATAGTCACCTGGGTGCTCTGCAGGGCTGGTTTAAGGTACTGAAGCCTCTGTGTTTCCAGTGGAAATCTTGTAATGCGTCATCAGGAAAGACCTGATGATAGCCTGTAGGTCTAAAAAGTTGCTGGTATTAATGATGAAGATTGTTTGTTAGAAAACCACATACAAATAAACTAACAAAACAATCCTCCCAGATTTCATGGAACATGTTTATGGGCTTTGCCTCACAGTGAGTAGTCTGGTGGTTCATGGAGTGGTATGTATAATGATCCTTCTAAGCAAAACCCAGAGATGTGTGGGTGTGGGTTTGGAGGAGGAGGGATAGTTGGAAGTTGGAAGATAGGGGCTTTTTGCTGAATATGTGACTGAAATGGATATAGAACGAGCATTACCTTGCTAATTGTAGCACAAGGTAGGTTTGAGAATGACAAGGTGACAAGGTTCCCAGTGATAGCAGGCTCCTGACACACAGACCATAGTGCTCAAAGGGACTCTGATTGAAAGGGATAACAATGATTTCAGAAGTGGAGTGATAATGACAGCAGTTAACAGTAGTAGCAGTGGGAGGTGTTGTGACCACACTAGTTCACAAGTATCAGTGAGTAGTGGATTTGAGAGATTAAAGAACAAGTCTAGATTGGAATTCTTACAAGGTATAATACAGGGGTTTATATAGTGAAAGGAAGGAAGGTTATGCACAGTACAGCTGTGCAAAAAGAGTGAGAAAGAACATGAAAGAAGGAATATACACTGAAAAATCCTGTGTAGGTAGTACAGGATAAGATTGTCAAAATCGTGAAAAAAAAAAGGAATAGAACAATGAATGCTGTGTATGTAATGTCACAGGTTTGTAAAGCCATAAAATAAAGTCCAATAATAATAAAAAGCAAAAAAATCATGATGGCATAGGAATATGCAATAAAAAAAGACAAGGCAAATTTATTATCAGTATTAACCTAGTTCCCTTGTTATCAGTTAGGCATTCAAAAAAAATATGTGTCCATAAAAAATGATTCAAAAATCAAGAATAATTGCACTGCAAATGAATGTACTGCTGAGAAAAAAAAGAACTAGAGCCACCGGTCCACCACCTAGTCCAAATCCAATGGTTTCATGGCCTTACCAATGGTCTGGTTGTATTGGACTACCTGGTTAAACGAGGGAGGGAGAGGAGTAGTTCTAATCTGGAACAGATGTGTCCCAGGCAGTGTGTGATAAGTGTAGCTGTAGCAAACATGATGGACAAAGGATAAATGTACCCAAGCAAATAGGATGGCAATGTACATGGGCAATGCAAGAAGATGAGACAAACGACCAATGATTTGATAGTATAAGATGGAAGATCAACATCATGAAGACGGACCAGCTGCCCAATTTGGACCGGCTGCAGGGGCTTTGCTGAAATTATGTGGTGGTTGACAGATTGGCAATGAAAGTGAATGGAGAGCGGTGACATCAGGTATGGTGGAGGCACAAGGAGGATGAGTAGGAGGAGGGTGGAGGTGACAAAGAAGTGGACTAAGATAGGGATCCAAAAACAACCATGTGGTGAGAAAAAAAAAGACAGGATAGGGTTCATGGTGGGGCTAAGTAAGGGAAGGAGAGTAAGGGAGATGACAAAAGTGAGGGCACAATGTGTAGTCAGTGGCAATGCAAAAAATTGCCAAAATGCCAAAATGCCAAAAGTACCAAATGGAAAGCACAGGTGGGTGTGACTTGATTGCCTAATAGAGGTGGGTGCTGATCAGCCACAAGTTCTACAAAGGCAATATTAGTTACTATTCCATGTGGCACTGTGCCTATGTGGCACAAAGGCAAGTCTTCTAAATATTTGCTTCGTTATTAACACCTGTCCATGCTATCAATCAACTTTGGTGCATGACACCAGGGATGACGGATCCTCATCTACAAGGATGAGATATTCATTGTCGTCAAGTGGAAGCTTGACCTTTTCTTTGTGCTTACTTGGTAGGCTCTTCTTTGGTACAGACCCATCTATATCAGCTACATACAGTTCAGTATAAGGGTGTCCTGGCAGTGGAGACATTTGAAATATATACATTCACATGGATTTGCACACCAACCTGGCTGTTACCTTCCTGGGGTCTCTAGCATTGTGTTGCCCACCTTGCCCTCAGCCAGATATTAATGTTCCGCTTGATTGGAAGCAAAACCCCCTCAGGCAGTATCACTTGAAGACTCTTGTCATAGACGGAAACTTTAATGCAGAGCGCATGAAGTCAAAGAACCCCATGATGATGTCCCATTGACCAATGGCACATTATTCTTGACAGCAAACCAACCATACATAGAGCATCTCAAAATTGCCAAAGAAAATAAAGTGGGGTCTACTTGTAATAACCACAGAACTGTAAACCTGGCAAACAAGGACCGGCAGCATCTTGATGCTACTGCCTGCACCTGGCACAGAGTATTTTGCCCGAGTGCCATAGTGGATATTCAGAAAGGTGAACAGTGAGTTTCCCACAAACCTGAGATTGTGACAAGTGCTTACTCTTCATAGCCTCATGAACATGGACTATTCCCTGTGTCAGGCCTTGTTTTCACTGGCCAGGATCAACTTGGTCATAGTCCTCTACAATATACCGTAATGTCTTAATACAGTAAACACTTCTCCAAGAGGAATCTTGCAAGTCCCTATCTTCAGGTCCCCAGTGGTGTATCCATGTACAATGTAATTGTATTATTTTATGTGCATGGACATCAAGACATCTACATCCCAAAGTATGCCCCTAACTTCATCATCCAAGATTGGCCTGAACCACGTAAAATTAAGGATGTCCAGTCCTCAGTAGGGTCTGACAACTCCTACCATTGTTTTATTAACAACTACTCCAACATTGTTGCTCTGCTCACCCAGCTTACTCAGAAAGATATTCATTGGAATTTCTCCAACAACTGTCAGAAGTCCTTCAAAGCATTGAAAAATGCCTTCACAATTGTCCGACGTTTTTGCACTATGTGGCTGTGCATATTACTAAGCAAGTGACCGGAAATGTTATTGAGTCTATGTAATCAACTGTTGTAACTCTAACATGGAACTCTGTACCTATATTACGGGTTACTCCTTACAAACTTCAATCCCTCCAATAGTATATAAGCTGTAGCTCCTGTACTCCGTTCCTGCAGTTCAGATATCAACTAGTTCCTCCCACCTTTATTTAAGTCTCCTTCTAAGTTTTCCGGTCCTTCTCCAAAGGACCTTTACTCCACTCCAACTTTCATCCTCTACTCTCACCCATTCACTCTGTCAAGTCAGGGACCAAGGTCCACGGAAAAGCCTAGCACACAAGCTAAGTCAACTCCCAACCTTGCACTCTGCTCTGCTCCCCACCCCATTTCCATTTTACAAACTTCAATCACTCTGAAGGTTACGGTTCTGACACATCTGCTGGATTGTTGTAGTGGGCACACTTGTTTTGGTGGGGGTTCTGCCTCTCTCTTTCTCTTCCTGTTGTAGTCTAAGTCTACTGATGACTTTTTCTGCAGGATCTTGAGCTCTGCCGCTAATAAGGGCTCAGTGGCGTTGATAAGGTATTGTTGGACATGCTTGTGGATGGGAATGGGAGGGAGTAAAGTTGTCTCAGCCCATATAAACCTCTGAAGAGGTTGTCTGCAGGGTTGCATATGCTAAAGACATATTCAACTCAGATCTCAAGATATTGGGGATGACTTGGGATAAATATTGTGGATATGCTTGAACACTTTGTTGACAGCTTCATTGCAGTGCCTACCATTTGGCCAGCCTTTGACAATGCCAGAGTTGTCTCTCTAGACCTTGATACAGTGGCTAGAATGAGAAATTTCAGCAAAAGTGTATATGAGGAATTCAAATCTGATGGCCTCTGCCCAGCCAATATCTCTTCTTCTATGGTGCATTTTCCACCCTGGTATCAATCTCCACGTTCTCCACTTATTTCCTCTTGTGGTTGCTACTCTAATTCCCAAACTAGTGGCTGAAAAGGCCTGAAGGTCCGAGAATACTGCAGGTGAGTAAATGGGCTGCGAGACTTGGCCTAGCAGTCTGCACTATGTTTTTGTCTGGCCGGTGAGGTACAAAATGGCTTGGCAGAACACACCCCCAATGTGCACTCTAAGCCTGTCAGATATGTACACCGCATTATCATGGCTGAGCATGCATATAGTAACTTACTGTAAAGCTTGGGTACATCTTGTTACAATAACACAATTCTCAGACCTTTAAATTTCATTCTTCTTTCTTTTGTAGTTTTCACACCCTGTGCCATGCAGCACTTTCCGTTCTTGTTCAAACTCCACTTCTCGCACTGCACTGCTTTTTCCATTTTTAGATACAGGTTTCTCACACAGTGGAGCTGGTCACACACGCTGTGCCCTATGACATCATCAGCCACTGCCTTCATCAACTATATAGTACACATGTACAAACAAGCTATAGTAGTATATATACCCCAATAGATCAAGGAGACTCCTCAGCAAGTCCTCCTGTTATTTATATTAAGAACAAAGCCTAAGGGAAGTGCCTAACCACTTGCTGAGAGCTATCAGAGACTGGAAACTAGAGTCCAATGTGAGTAACTAGAGAATAAGAAGCATTGGACTCTGAAGTACTGTCCGAAGTTTTGTAAACAAAGGTAAACAAAGCAGCCACAGAGGCAAAATAATAGAGAACATAGTGAACACCAAGTGATAGGAGATTAGGGAAAGAAATGAAAATAGGTAGAAATATGAATAGAATAATTAGGTGCAGAATCACCAAAACTAACAATTTACCCATAACAAACTTGGTCCCACCCTAAGGGAGATTATCTCCACCTCCACTCACCCCTCCTTGCTTGTCTTTGTTGTGCACCAGAGTATACAAACTTTGGTTGTTACAAGTTGCCAAGTAAATACTAAAGTCTGAAAATAAGACGGAAACGGAGAAGTTTGAATCCTTGTTTACCAATATAGGTATAAGTTTCTCACACATGTTGGTGAGTGCTATTCCTTGTTGTTGCTCCAACATACTGTATTTCTAATTAATGTGTGCCACATCACTTCTTCACACATAGATAGTCAGTGTTCACAGGGCATGATCCTCCGGATCCCTTCGGTTGGTGGGCTGTCGAGTGTTGTGGACACACTGCATTTTACGACAGCAAGTCCTAGCATTATCCAAGAGATATTGAAGGAGGCCCTATGGTTGCAATTTGCAGGGTTCTTTGAAAAAGGTGTTTTCACTTCTGTATCAATTTCAATTGCTATCCAACTATAGTATCAACTGGATATATGAAGCAAGGGTACGTAAGCCTCAGGGAAAAGTAATAGACTATACACTATCTGAAGACCAAGGTGTCTTGAATACTCTTCGTTCGGGAACGTATAGGACTTAGGATGGGGTCGAGCCATGTTCGGTATTTTGATTATTGGGAATCAAGGGAGCAAGGCAGCTGCCATCACTATCTCGCGAACTGGTCGAATAGGCACTCCGAAATTCATCCGAATCATCCGTGGATATAGCTGGAGTTACAGTAGGTGATGTAGAGACCCCTCTGTGATGCGAGTTTGTCCGAGAACCGCACAGAGAGCCACCCAAAGAGACTCTATGTAGCTCCTTCGACAACGAAGTAGCAGAGTGCCTATTAGTCAAATCTTTACGAGCGCAGAGCCCCCCTCCAGAATGAGATGGGGGCTGTACTCCATTCATATCCATAAGCATGGTTTCGCATGATTGGTGTGTGGTGCTAATTGTTTGCATTGAAGTGACTGTGTCACGCCTTCTCCTGATATTGGCAGCTTCCTGTGGCAACATGAGATCTGCGGCGATTTCCTCGTCGTCTTCAGTACTCAAATACCTAGCTTCAGTTATCAATGCCGACTCCAGCTGCCACATGGTTAGCTTTAGGAGAAACAATGCTTCAACTGCACGTATACGTACCTTTTGTTGAATTTGTTTCACTTTCTGAGCGATCCGATCGCTCTGTTCGCTGATACCCTGATCTACTGCCATCATCCCATCTTGCACTAACTCTGACTGGGTTGCCGAAAACCGCTTAGTCTCAGGAAGAGTTCTTTCTACCATTTCTTCGTTACTCCTGTTGCCCTTTTGGGACTTGAAGGAATTGATTTCCTCTTTAACCTCGGGAACATTGACGAACGCCGACTCGGTACCCACGGAGCGATGCCTCCGGCAGTCGACGTCCGAAAGCGAGGATAAGCGACTTCCAGGTCGCGATTCGGTGTTGTAGTCAGATTCATCTGAATCCACGGCCATGGAAGCTAATGCACGTTCGATTTGTGCTTCTACCTCAGCAACCATTTCTGCTCTCTCGTGTTCCATCGTCTCCATCAAGTCTTTCATATTTCCCAGCTCACGCAGCGCTTCCTGGTGAGCCAGTTCGGTACAGTGCAGTTCTAGGATCAAAGAAAATCAATACCCAACCATCAATAGATGCAAGATATCCCTACGATTCTGCAAATTTGCCTTTTCGGAAGTAGTGAGTGTAACGAGACCATTCAATCTTTTAGTCTCCTTCTGTTCCCTGTTAATCTTCGTCCTTAAGTCACTAGCCTCCACACTTAATTTTTCAGCATAATGTTCAAAAGTGACAAATTTGTCGCGCCATAAATCGGATTCCGACATTAGGAAATTTAGTCGTCGTGATAGGCGACCTATCTTCGTTTCAAGGTCATCTCGAGCATCCACGAACGCCGTGGCGCGCTTGCGAATAGAATACTGAATGAGTTGCTCAGCGTGGGTGAGTTGTGGAGGATGTTTGACCATGTTAAAAGAACTGATCCGCTTGAAAATTGATGGTTTCTTAAGCTGTGTCATTGGCAAAGCTATCAGAAGGATTATACGGGGGAACTCACACAGCAACTTACCTTGTCCTGCAAGACAGCATCGAAAGCTTGAATAATCCTGGTTGAATGCCACCATTCTGGGGGCTTTATGGTATCTGCGATAGCAGCTGTCTCTGCACCACGTTTCGCCTGGATCTTGCAAACGGGTCTGAAACGCCCTGCTGGAAAAGCTTCCTTGAATTCACTATTGGAAGTCGCAGTCAGATTATGCAACAGAATAGCCAGGATCGACTGACCTCGGCACACTATGATCTAGGTGATAATGGGGCTCGAAGGCAGCGAGGAGTTTCTGCCGATATCTGTCTCTTTGCTGTTTGGTGGAGACAATACCTTTTGGAGGTGACGGGCAACTCCTACAATATATATTAGCGATGACGGCCTAATGGCCTCTAACAGATGAGAATTCACAGAAAATTGATGTCTCTGGATCCGCACTTATTAGCACATGCCTGGCACCAATAACAGTAGTACTTACAGGTCACAAACACAGACCTCTGGACCTGGTCTGATACTGAATCGCGCCTCAGTAGCTAAACCCATGATCCACGGACCGGGATCATCGACATAGATCTTCGCGTCACGGGAGTGGATAGCGGCAAGCGCAATGCCATTCCAGCCGCGCAGCTCTACGAGATATTTCACGGTTGCAACGGCAATCTAAAAGCAACAACCGAATCGAATCACGTAACAAGTAAATAAGAAAACTACGTACACCGAGCATTGCGGGGTGCCGCGAGAAGAACAAGATACGACCTGTAGGTGCAAGCGCTATCTGCTTTTCTAGTTATTATACATGCGTGACCTTGAATATCTAGCAACATACCTCACAGATCGTCAAAATGTGGTCAATATTAAGGCACTTGAACAAAGGCCACATAGTAAAATTAATATCAACCAACCCTCGGCCGAAGTCGAGACCCCCAGGAAAGCGAGCGATGACCTCCAAGTCAGTCTCATCATTTGCGGAGGCGTCAAGTTTAATGAGATCACCTGCGCGAGGGGCGGGGTGAGAAAGAATCTTGGAAATTTGAAGAGTGTGTGATTGCACATCCTTGGAAAAGCGTGCCCAAGAGAGGGTGAGGTAGTCGCGCATAAGATCATAAACCGGGTGTCTAGACACAAGGGCTGCGCGCAAATGTTGATTTAAAGGGTACAAAAGGCAAAAATGCACTTACTCAGAGCGTACGGCAACCAGAAAATAGTATCACCAGGAACAAACAAAGTACTTTCCCCAGGTCCATGTCCGATGGAGCTAGCCACCTCAAAATCGCTCTCACTAATGGCACCTTCTCCCTCCGTCTCCGCATCGGTCTCTCCATCTGTCCAAAAACCTTTATTACTTCTCCTCGAGTTCCTGTGGGCACGCAGTATAGGATCACCCAAACCTCCATTACCATTCGATAAGCTAACTTTGGGTGGACAAATGTCAGGTTGGAGCACTCTCAGTCTCGTCGCAATATGTGACTGTGCACTTTCCTTACGAGAGCGACCGGTCTCTAGAGTACGACGGATAGCGATGGCGCGCTCTGTATCAGCATGCGACCAAACAGTGAGGCACACGCCATGATAAGTGACTGGGCTACTATTTCCACTGTCTCGACCTTGCGTGGACGAACCATCTAGTGCAACTGGTGTTGGTACAGAGTCCTGAGCAAAAATCGAGGGGACACCGAGAGAAGCAGGACGAGCGTGAGAAGTACCTAAGGGGTAAGCGAAGGCACCGTTCGAGGAGTGTTCTGTGACAGTAAACACTGATGAACGGAGAAGATCACCCGAATGAGTGGGTGCCAATGGTGTAGCTGGGGTGGCGAGTGTAAATGTAAATGTGTGAACTGTAGATGCGGGCTGCAATGTAGAAGCAACAATTTCCACTTCGCGTGTGAAAGATAGCTTTCCAACAAGTGAGCATGAGATGCTATGTACTAAGATGCAGGTGAGAATACCTTCAGTGCTTTTGATAACATCTTTCCAACCTCCTGCTTAGAGAGCGTGCCTGCACCTTTAAGAAGATCAGTATCACTCCTATTACTCTTCGTTTTCTTTCTGGAACCACATGCTCCTGGACTAACAGTACTTCCAAGGACTTCGGGTCTCCACCAACGGTTTACGGCGCCTTCAGTATGATGCAAACCAAACACAGAGTCTGGATCAGCCAGAGTCCATGTATACGGGGATTTTGGAAGGCCGGACACTACATATAGAGAGGTGAGAGGAAGCGATGAAGGGAGATACGGATATTTGCGTGGGCCGCGAGCAGTATGACCTGACATTATAGAAGTACGAGACGACGCAGGTAATGGTTCCATTGACATTCTATGCTGAATACCTAACACCCGGGAAGCTTTATCGGGGCGACGTAAATGATAGTTTGTCGGAACAGCAGAGGATGGGGGAGTGTCGATGGAGTTACCAACGATATGTTCTGAGTTGTATTCTACGTCTTGTAATGTTCTTGTCACTGTGATGTAGTCCAGCTCGTCTGCAAGCTCTTTCCCGTTGTCGCAGTTAGAATTAAGATTTGGATCGAGCAGGTCACCGTTATAAGAGGGAAGCGTTTTCATGGAGACAAAGAAAATGCTGGAACCCTTGCTTGGAGCTTAGGGCAGATTCAAACCATCAGACTCCGCCAGGAAACCCTAATAGCGGACTTCCGGGCGTGCCACTGTGGCCAGTTGCTGACCTACAGCAGGATCTGTACCTGTGTGCAGTGATTCTGGACTTTCTGGGCATGCAACCAATCAGTATGCTTTTCAAGTATACCTTGGTAGCTTAGTTGGTAAAGCACCAGACCATGAAAGCTGGAGTCCCAGGTTCAAGCCCTGGCCAATGCATGTTTTCTCATAATATAAAAAAATGTCATAATTTGTCAGCTTGTAGGATAAATTTTGTACATTGTTGGCAATGAACTATGCTTTGGAAAACTGGAATAATCTTGCCTTCCTATCAGTTTGTTGATCAGGAAGGTGAGGTTCATCCATTCCATGGAGTGTACAGCTATATCATAATCATGAGTAAATTTTGATAAAATGTGATACACATTATGAAAAACATGGGGTATACATTTAGAATGATACAGGCCAGGATAATATGGATAAAATTGTGAATAAATTGTAATACTGCTGACTATCAACACTGATTATTGATTGTTGAATTGACTGTGTAACTAGTGATTGTCTAGAATCAATGGTTGATTACGAGTTGAAAGTAGTGTGTACTATTGCAATTGAATTTTTCTAGAATTCATTTTGGGAAAAAAAACTGTTTATAGTATTATTTATTTTGGTGAGAAAAATGTTAAATGATGAAAAGAACATTATATATGTGAACACATATCTACACAAATTAGAAGATTGTTGAACTGAAAACAAAATTTAAAACAAAATGTGTATAAAAAGAAAAGAAAAAAAAAGTAATTTTGAATGTTAGTTCAATGATTGCTAGATTCTTGGGTAAATAAAATCTAAAAAAATTGGCCTAGTAAATTGTATATTTTTCACAGTACAACATCATAAAATAACTAGTTCTACATTTAACCTGTTTTGTCTGTGTACATTTTCACTTTTAGTCAATATTTTATTTTCATTTTGTTTGAGAAAAAATTGTAAAGAAAGAAAGAGAAGATCTACATTGTTATGCTGAGATAAATTATAAATTGAATCGTCATCAAGTCACAAACTTGACTGTGAAAAAACTTCAACAAAATCTTTTAAGCAATTGAATTGATCTGACAATATATATAACATTTTAATGTGAGAAAAATGATAATTCAAAGTCCGATGTTTTTGCCACTACATCCTAAGATAAGAGGGAGAAATTCAAGTAATAGCTTTGAATCTTATTACCATTTTATCTGGAGAAAAAAGGTTTGTTTACTTTGTCTTTAGATACAATTTGATCAGTATTTATTTCAAGGAAAAATTGATATTTTCCCCTGGTGATTAGACTACAATACTTTGATACCTGTACTTATTGTGGGCACCTGGTAAGCCTTTATAAATGCAGTTGAGGTGTTGCCTTGACAAATCATTCCAATTCTGGATTACCAACTCCACCTAGCTATAGCAACTCTTTCCCAATTTCCTGATGAACAACCATACCTTTTTTTTTCAAACTTTTTACTAAAGCTTAACTATCACTCAACTATATATGACTGTTACTTGATGTTTGCCTGATTTTACATGACTTTATGTGACTATTACTTGACTATACTTGACTTTTTGTTTTTACTGAGCATGATGCCAGTAATGCAATATTAGTATAATGTTCTGTCAATGCCTTGTAACATCTAGCACCTCCTGTAATGACAAGAAAAACTTGTCTGCACTGTTTTTCTTGTTGCACCCTAGAAATATTATATAATCAGCTGAATTACCAAAAAAGAATGGGCAATAGAAATCCCTGACTCTATAAATAGCAGTCTTTGCACTTACCATCATAGTGTCAGTAACAAATATGAAGCTATATAACAACCGGTATCAGGCCAAAATCATGGAGACAAGACAGTGAAGCTGAGTGAAGACATCAAGTATCTACTCCTTATATAGTGAAATAACAAGGGTCAGACTAAAAGGGAACAGAACAGGAAAGTGACCCAACTCAATGATTAACCAATAAGAAAAAAGGAAGAAGTAGTGTGATCTATTGTTTAATTATGTGGGAAACATCTTTGGTAAGGAATATGTGATGGCTGGATCAGTAATCCCATGGGAAATTGCTGAGTCACAGTGTGTATGGCTTATTAATCTCTCACTAAAGTATTCCTGTGCACACCTCTTGATCAGAGCTATACCATTGGGATGTCTTCTCGTGAATGAGAAAAGAGTCTCCTATGTTGCATGTACAATAGAATGTAAGTGTGAAAAGAGAATAAAAAGAAAAGAGAGATAAGTAAAAGAGTCCTAATGATGACTTCTAGTCCAATGGCTAAGGGAGTTACTGGAAACAATTGGGAAAACCAAGATATAGTGGGAATGCAATGAGAAAATTTGATTCCTCACACATGGTGTATTGTGCTATCAGCAAAGACATCAAAGAGCAAGCCCTCTAGCTCATCAAACATCAGTATATACCCTCCAATGTCTGTGAGATCTTCAACATATCTGAGAAAAGCCTCTCTCTCTGGAAAGCAAACCAAGCTCAGTTTGGCTCTGTCTGCCCTCCTGTCAGAACCGTGACCTTTTGGAGTGTGGAGACAGAGTGGAGAGTGTAACAGAGTACAAGGTTGGAAATTGACTTAGCTTGTGCACTAGGTCCTTCTGCGGACCTTGGTCCCTACCTTGTCAGAGTGAATGGATGAGAGTAGAGGATAAAAAGGAGTAGAGCAAAGGTCCTTCACAGGATCAGAAATCTTAGAAAGGGCTTTGTAAAGGCGAGGGAATCTAGTTGATATTTGAACTGCAGGAACAGAGTACAGGAGCTACAACTTTACTGTTGGAGGAATGGGAGTTTGTAAGGAGTAATCTGTAATGTAGGTACAGGGTTCCATGCGGACAATTATCTAGTGAAGGGAAATTATATGTGGGAGGAGTGTATCGTAAGATCTAAACTTCAGAGTCCATGGGGAGTATGAAACATGCATAGGAAAATGTATGGCAGACTAGAAGTCTGGTGCAAGAGTATCAGAATGGATGTCCAGAGTACCATGTGGGGATGGGGCACAGGGGTATGCCAACCAGCAGGACACAAGGAGCGTAATCCCAAGAGTACCAATGGTTTGGGGGGTTCAGACTGGAGGAATGTCCTCTTTGGAGATTCCGGAGTTCTGCCTTCCAGCATGGATATGACACCTCCTCCCAACCTTCTTCATGGCTTGGAAAGCGCAAGTCAATGAAGACAAGCATTGTACAAAGAGAAAGTATGGTGCAGGGCACCATACTAAGAAGGTATAGTAGTCAGATGGCCCATGCATTTTGATGGGCAAATTTTCTCATTATTTATACTTCTCTTTAGCCTTTTTAAACCTTTGTAGCAACAATTGCCCCCCACCTCAGAGCTTTGCCCACAAACTCTGAGGTGAGAATCTTATACCATCTTAGCTTTTAGTGATATACTTACTCTGTACCTAGTATTTGGGGTATATTAGGTACACAAATACATTCTCAGAGCTTTACCCACAATGATCAAGTATTTGGTTTATATTAGATCTCTTTGAGGTTATGAGCCCTGAGAGTGAGACAACATACCCAGAAAAAGACACCCTTGGGGCGCCAAAGCTTGAGCCGGATGTCCCGAACTGGTCAATATACAAAATCCGCCTTGAATGGGCCCTTGCTGACCAAGACTGCATTGAGCATCTCCATGGCACAGCAAAAAGGCCAATACCAGTATCCCAGACCACTAGCCAGACTGCTGGCCAGGCCACAGTGACGACATCTCCTCCTGCAGCAGTCAGCAAGGCCAATCAAGAAGCACTTGACGCCTGGTGGAAAAAGGAGTACCAAGCGGGAAATATGAATATGTTAGGTTGCACTATACCTGATTTGACACTGCAAAGGATTCTAAACAAGCCCACTATTGCCAACATATGGGCCATGATCTGCCAAGAAAATGAGAACAAATCTATGCTGCACCAAGAAAGGAGACTTGCGCACACATTTGGACAAAATTTGCGTGCTATTGGAACAGCTCAGCACAGCAGGAGTTAAACTAGCAGACAAAGAACTCACCTCCAGCATCATCATGTTTCTGCTGCACTCATATGCCACCTACGTATTGCACCTGTCAGTGTCTGCCCATATGTCAAAACAGACTTTGGACCCAGAGAGACTGATCTCATACCTTCTCCAAGAATATGACCACCAGATTATATTCAGAAAACGCCCCAAAGCAAAATCTGAAGACATTGCAATGTCAGCCACCGGATAACAGTGATCGTCCAAACGTCAAAATTGAGGCGGAAGAGGTTGTTACAGGAAGGGAAAATTGTCTGGCAGCAAACATGACAAATATGCTAGCAAGCTTCAATGCTGGAACTGCGGTGGAAAGGGACATAGGCCACACCAGTGTCCCAGTGAGAAGTGTGAGTGCTCCACAAAGAACAAGTCAAAGGGTGACTCACCAGGAGATAAAAAGAAAGAGGGGCAGGTGGGCAATGCAAAAGGAAAGAAGCCTAAAAAAGTGAACCTTGCCGTTCATGTTGAACATGACAGCGTGAGCCTGTCTGATTTTGAGGAAGAAGGTGCATGGAGTGCCCTCACTCATCAACTTGCCATGAGTACCAGATCCAAAAGCCCCATCAATATCTATGACTCAGGTGTTATGAGTTATTTTATCCCTTATTGACACCTTTTACTCAATTACCATACAATCACACCTTATCCTATAAGTGTGGTGAACTAAGACTTGTTCTCAGCTGTGGGGAAAGGTGATATGATCAATGTCCCCAACGGCACTCATAAAGACACACAAGTGCGCCTGAAAGATGTGGTATATGCACCAAATTTAGGCTACACCCTCATTTAAATTGGCTGCATAGATAAAGCAGGCTACAAAGCTGTTTTTGAAAAAGGAAAATGCATCATCTATGACCCAAAAGGACAGATAAGAGGGCACATACCTAAAGTGGGTGGTGTAGCAGTCACAAGGTACAAGTTTTTGCCACAAAAGCGCCAATGCAGTTATTGAGCACATCTCTGCCACCAAACTTCACAAGTGCCTTGGCCATATAGCTATTAATGCAGCAAAATGCATGGTTGTGAAGGGCTTAATCCATGGGGTTGAACTCCTGGAGAATGGGGAAATAGGTACCCTCTGTGAAATTTGTGTTTGCACAAAGGGCAAACACAAGACAATTCCTAAAGTAAAACTGGGTGAGGGTGCACAGGAATATGGCCAAGAGATCCACACTGATCTATGTATGGGGACCTGCATCAGTGGAGACACTGGGCGGAAAGTGGTATTGTGTTGCCTTTACAGATCACAAGACATGTGAGACACATTTCTACCTCTTGCGCAACAAATCCAACACCTTTTGCCAATTTCAAATGTACAAGGCCTGGATTTGCAACCATATAAATGCGGCGGTAAAAATCTTGCACAGTGATCAGGGGGAAAAATATCTAAGTGCCAAGTTTAATGACTACATGGCTGAAAAGGGAATTGTGAGGAAACTCATAGTGCATGACACCCCCGAACAAAATGGTGTTGCTGAGTGGATGAACTGCACCCTACTCGAGAAATTTTGTTCCCTCCTACTCAGCAGTGGCCTGCCAAATTTTCTGTGAGGAGAAGCAGCCAGACATGCATGCTGGTTGAAGAATCAACCAAAGCCTTGGACAACATAATGCTTTTGAGGCAGTGCATGGAGTAAACCGGACCTTGCTGGCCTGCACAGATGGGGCTGCAAGATGTTAGTTCATGATACTACAGGCTTAAAGCTTGAGAGCTGCACCAAAGTTGGTTTTTGGGTTGGTTTTGACACCAAAAGTCTTGGGCACTGAATCTATTGGCCTGGTAAACATTCTGTGAGTGTAGAACGCTCAGTCACATTCACAAATGATCTATACCAACCTGGAGATGTATCTCCTGATCTTGAGGGGGAGAATAGTGAAATACCTACGCAAAAGAACAAAGAAGCATCAATAGATGTTGAAGGCAATATACCTGATGTGAACCAGGAACCAGCAAAGCCAACCAAAAATATCAATCCCCCACAAGACCCTGCTTCTGCACCACCAGCTGAACCTCAAGTCTGTTAGAGCACACACATCTGCCAACCAGCCCAATATGTCCATGACCTTTTAAGAGGAGAAGGATTAGTGTCTGGATCTAACAATAAAGCCTTACCTAAGGGGTTGCAGATATCAGCAGTGGGCAATTAAGCTGATAGAGATGAGATGGAAGATAATGACTTGAGGGAACTGGCAGCAAATATTGCTATGACAGCCGCAATGGCAGATCTTGGAGGTGTCAAACCCAGAACAGTTGAAGAAGCCTGAAAGCGCTTAGATTGGCTGAAATGGGAAGAAGCAATCAATGAGGAACTGAATAGGCTTTAAGTGGCAGAAACATGGACTTACATCAAGAGACCCAAAGCTGTGAACATTGTAGGAAGTAAATGTGTGTTTAAGCTAAAGAAAACAGCATCAGTATCCATTGATAAGTATAAGGCTACAGCCAGGTGGAAGGAGTTGACTATTTTGATATGTTTGCCCCTGTTGCAAAGATGGTGTTGCTACAAATTATGTTAGCAATGGCTGCGCAAAATGATTGGGAGACACACCAGATGGATGTTAAAAGTGTGTGTTTAAATGGCAAACTGGAAGATAACAAGGTCATCTATATGCAACAACCGCCCAGTTACAATGCACCTCATAAAGACACCCAAGTCCTACGCCTAAACAAGATACTCTATGGCCTGAAGCAGGCCGGCCACAGATGGTATCAGACTCTATGCGACGGACTCCAGAAAATTGACTTGATTCACTGCAAAACAGATCATGCAATATCCCATAGGCATGACAAAGAAAAAAAACTCACTATTATTGCAGTTCATGCGTTACAATACACAATTTTTGGATCTTTAAATTTCATTCTCCACTTTAACTTTCTTCTGTAGTTTTCACACACTGTGCCATGTGGCACTTTCCATTTTTGTTAAAACTCCACATTCTTGTGCTGCACTGCTTTCTTTATTCTTAGCTACAAGTCTTTCACACAGTGGAGCTGGTCACACAGGCTGTGCCCTATGACATCATCAGCCACTGCCTTCATCAGCTGTATAGTACACATGTACAAATAGTCTATAGTTGTATATAAACCCCAATAGATCAAGGAGACTCCTCAGCGAGTCCTCCTGTTGTTTACCCACAACTAACTCGGTCCTAATTTAAGGGGTAACCACTCCCACTCACTTCACTACTGTTTCTCTAAGTTGTGCACCAGAGTATGCAAATTCTTGGTTGTTACATTAGGACTTGTTCTTATTACTCTCTTGCACTTTGTGCAAACCCGGACCACAGGGTCAAGTGGATGTCTTTTGAAAGATAAGTCTTTGGTGCCAGACTGGTGTTGAGCTTTTGCTAGCCAGCGGAAACAAAGTGTGTACCCTGAGTTTGTCGCAAGCTCTTTGTTCCGAGGCACCAGAGAGATCAGAATCAAATATACATGGCCCCCAGCGTCAAGGGGAGTACTATAGCTCAGCAGTTGGTGTGAAACCACTGTTGATTAGATTTAAATACAAAAATTCTTCTTTGTTTTCCTCTGACCAGGCTGGGCACTTGCCTCTGCCAGTCTGGAGAAGAGTTGACAGCTTAACAAGTGGACCACCCCCTGATAACCATTTGGACCAGGGTTTCTTACTATAACTTTTATGTACTTTTCAAATACTATAGTGTGTGTAGTCGGGGATTGAGACCCATTACTCAGCTGGGAAGAGGTAGATCTGCAGATAGCAAGCGGTGACCCCCAGTTACATTTTTTTACATTTACAAAGAGAACAAGTCAACATGACATGGCAAAACCAACCTGATGTCAACACTCTGTTGCACAACATGTGTGCACAGATTCTGACATTGACTATGCAGCTTGCTGAGCTTCAGACAAACCCCCCTGAAGCAGTTGAGCAAAAATTCAACAAAAAAGTCAAGATCGTTGCTGACCCTGGCGCTTTCAAAGGACACCAGGCTTGATTTGTGGAATGGTGGATCAAGGCGAACTGGGATGCATTTGCCGATGATTTTGAGATAGCAACAGCTGTGCTATCAAGACTAAAAAAACCTGTGGCGGGTCTATACACCCAAGTTAGACTCCAGGAGTGCTACACTGCCAATCACTGGCCTACATGGGATGATCTCTGTAACAACCAAGAGTTAGTTACTCTGGCGCACACAGGAACACACTATAAAGGTAGTGGAAGATGGGGAGTGGGTACCCCTTGGGCTGCAGTGAGTTAGTTGGTATACAACAGGAGGACTCGCTGAGGAGTCTCCTGGATCTATTGGGGTATATATACTACTACAGGTTTGTTTGTACATGTGTACTATACAGTTGATGAAGGCAGTGGCTGATGATGTCATAGGGTCTAGCCCGTATGGCCAGCTCTACTGCGTGAGAGAGTTAAGTCTAAAAGTAAAAGAAAGGCAACGCGGCGCGAGAAAGGGAAATGCCGCGTGGCACTTAAAGTATAAAGTTAAAGCGGAGAATAAAAAGGAAAGGAGATGTCCGGAAATTGTGTTATCGTAACACTACCCCCCTTCTAAGGCTCGACTTCCAGGCGAGACCAAATTCCGGAGGTAGTGGTAAAATTTTCGGGCATAGGTTGAAAGAGGGAATTAAAAAGGTTTGAATCCATGCCTCTAAGCTTCCTGGGAGCTGAGGGATTCCTAGAATAAAATTTGCGAACAGCGTCGCGGGAGTTTTCCAGATGGGATTCTGGTTCCCACGTTCTGTCCTCGTCTCCATAGCCCTTCCATAGGACCAGGAACTCTAATTTTCCACGCTTCAAGCGTGCATCTACCACTCGTTCGACTTCGAACTCTTCTCCACCTTCCTGGGTGACTACTACCGGACCGGGCCGGTCTACGCGCTGTCCCGGCAGCGGTCCTTTGTAGGGTTTTACACGGCTAATGTTAACCGTGGGTACCACCCTCATTTGTTTTGGGAGTTCCAGCTCCACCGCATTAGGTTTGACTTCCTTAATCCGGTA